CTGTTGTTGCCCACTCTCTCTCTCTCTCTCTCTCCCTCTCTCCCTCTCTATATCTATATCTATATCTATATCTATATCTATATCTATATCTATATCTATATCTATATCTATGTCTATCTATCATTCTACTCATCAAGGGCCCCTACATTGCCCTGAACCGATCTCGGCTTCCGTGATTGCAAGTTCAAAAGAGCCGTTAAACTACGCCCTGAAGCATACACTCGTGACCCTGATGCCCCACAGACTAACCTGTATAACACCGTGAATGCCACGCCCGAAACCCGATGCCCTGCACCCGAGGCCTTAAATCCCGGACCCCAAAACCCAAACCCTGAACCTGAAATGCCAAGCCTTAAACCCCAAACCCCCAAACCCTGCGCTGCCTTGCGTTGGCTGTCGACTGTCTGAGGTCGGTTCGCCCCATCGGCGCCCGCGCCCCAAAGCGGTGGCAAAAGCGTCTGCCGTGGCCGATGCTGACGAGGTCGGGTTTCGGGTTCTAGGGGAATTTGGGGTTTAGGGTTGAGGGTCAGGGGCTGAGAGTTTCCTGGAGTTTTGCGGGCGGCTCCGCTGCTCCGGAACAGGTATGTACCGACTGAAGGCTAAGAGGACCTGTGCTTCTTCTTGGGGTTTAGAGTGGTTTAATGTAGGGGCCGTAGTGATTCGAAATAGCATTTTGGGGCCATTATACTATAATTATAATGCGGAAACCCTTAGTCTAGTATTGGCAATTGTTTAGGCCCCGACAGTAGATGAAAAGCTCACGGAGATCCATTCTTAGAGATCCAAGAGGCCAGTGTTGACGCAATGCCCTACTCGCTGAAAGGGCTCGGACTTCTCAAAAGCGGAGTGCCCATAACCTGAATGCTACAGTCAGTCCTGAACAGTTCTTTGAGGGTTTTCGGGGCTTTGGGCCAAGTTCAGGGTGTAGTTTGATTCGTGAGATATATGGTATATGGCTTTAGAGCTTGAGCGGTTTTAGGGGTGATCTTGATTCCTGTTTGCTGACGTTGGCTTCGGGCTGCAGGGCTTCGTCTTCGTCTTCTTCAGTTTGGGACTCGGAGTGTTTGGGGCTTCGGCCTCAGGCCCCCTCCCCTTACCCCGGACCCATAGGATACCTAGGATATTCCGGGGTTTAGGGTTTTTGGGGGTTTAGGGGTTCAGGGGTTTAGGGGTTTAGGGTTGGATACCCTGTTTTCTGAAGCCTCACATGTGGCAACTCCGTGATCTCCTTCCCTCCCTCAAAAGGGTTCAGCTGCATCTTCAGCACCCAAAGAACTGTGGGATTGCTTCAAAACGCTACAAACTCGGTGCTCTGCGGGAATCAGTTACCCGCAGTATCGGTTCACCTTGACGACCCCAAAGTCTCAATCCAGGGACTACTCCTGCCTAGGAGGATGAGCGAAGATTGTCGGAGATCCTGGATCCTAAGTCCTTAAACCTTGCGCCGCATCTTTGGTCAGGTGTTCGGGACAACGCCGCGACAGGACCTCTGCGGACAAAAGGGGCGAAATGTTAGCAATTAGAAGCATCAACATCACTAAGCCTTGCATGTCGAAGCCCAGCCTGAGCTGCACTAAAGAGCAGGATGAACAGAGGTCATGAGCATTTTTTTTAGAAAGTCAGGTTCGAACGACATTTTTTGGGCCAGCAGCCGAAACGGAGAATTCAGGGTTCAAAGGGCCTCAGCCTTTACGAGCCTGCATCGCATCACAGGACGCTTCTGGCTACCAGCACGCGGAGCAGCCTCCATCAGCATCAGTGCCTTCCGAACCCAAGAAGCCCAAGTTTGCGGCCTTGCCGAAAATGCCAGTGCAGGCCAAGGCACCTGCACAGCCGGCTCAGGGAGAACTGCCGGACCCTTCGAGCACGCCAGCGCAAACTTCGGTTTCAGTCGATGAGACCTATGCAGCGCCAGCGCCACTGCCAGACATGTCAGCAGACAGCGCACAAGCACACGAGAGACACGGGGTGCCGGCCGCTCTCAAATCAGCCCTTCCGCAGGCTCCCATACCCACGGAACCAGCAACAGCCTCAGAACCTTCAGCGGAGACCGCCGGCTATCAGGAAGTTGCCCGACAAGCACCGGCAGCATTGAAAGCTCCGCTTCCAAAGGCTCCACTTCCGAAGGCGCCCGTGCCTGAAATGCATCAGGCTGCAGCACCTGCCCCGCCAACGCCGCATGACCCTGCACAGGCTGCGGCGCCTGCACCACCAACACCGCACGACACTGCACGGGCTGCGCCTGCACCTCCAACACCGCACGACACTGCATGGGCTGCGGCTCCTGCACCACCAACGCCCCACGACACTGCACGGGCTGCAGCGCCTGCACCTCCGACACCGCACGACACCACACAAGAGATGTTCGAAGCCCCAGCCGTTGACTCCCACAAGAAGGAGCAGACAGCTACGGCCCCAGTTCCGGACCCCACTCCCACCACCCCTGTCACTGCTGCCGCCCCTGCCCCGCCAACTGCGATGCCGGAAGCTCAGAAGCCAGCGCCGAGCGAGAAGCCCAAGTTTGCGCCGCTGCCGTCAGTGCCAAAGCTCCCTCCTAAGCCCGTGGCGCAGCCGCCCAAGCCAGCAGTGCCGGAGGCGCGAAAGCTCGTCGGAACAAGTTGAGGGTTTACAGTCTAGGGGTTGAGAGTCTGAGATTCTTAGAGGCCCATACTACTGGTACAGTCTTGCTTTGAGCTCCTGAGAACGGATCTTCTCACCAAGTTACCTGGTCTTAATCTGATCTGATTTTTCTGTGTGAGGTTTCCTGTGTAAGGTGCTCCAGTCATGTTTGTCAAGAATGAAAACCCTAAGCCGCTAAGAGTGAACGCTGGGTTGCCATGGCTGAGTGTTCTGGGACACAATTTTTCCTTGCGATTTTCCAGGTTTCATTTCTTTTCTCATGAGGTTTTTGTTAAGTAAGTCTACTGTAAGAAGAGCATTCGCGTTATCTTGTCAGTGTCAGAGACCTGCTTTGACATGAATTGCCTGGAATATGGAAGTGGGACCTGCCGTTTGGAATTTCTAGCTACTGTTTTAGAGAACATCCTTGGGCGAGCTGCACCTCCTCCGCAATCTCCGCAGGCGCTTGCACTCTCTATCTTTTCTCTCTGTCCTGGCGCGCAAAGACGGCCCATAGGGAAGGATTGAGATTGTCTACTTCAGCGAAATGCCTTCTAAGCCGAGAAAGATTCAGATTTACCCATGACTCGAGCCACAAGAGCCCCAAACCCTACATGGCCCCGGAAGATAGGAAAACCACGGTTTTCGGCCCAGGGAATCTGACGCTTTTGGGGTTTAAGGCTTCGAGTTCATCCCGGGGACCAGGCCTGGGAGGCTTGCGATTCGGCCTTTTCTTTTGGGGCCCCAAGGAAGCCCTCAGTCCCAGACCCTAATCCTGCCAGCCCTGTAGCCCTAGAGTCTTAAGGCCAAGAAGCTATGGAACCCATCTAGCTCGACGCTTATAAAATCCTTATGAAGCTTTGAAGACGCCTTTCGAAGATTTCGAAGAATCTTTAAGCCTTACATCCTAGACCTAAAGCTTACACCCCAAACCCTAAACCCTAAAGCCTAACTCTGCCCAAAATCCTCAACCCTGGACCCTAAACCCGAAATCCTAAATCCCAAACCTTCTAACTAAAAATCCGAAGCCCTCGACTCAGAAACCCTAAACCCTAAACCCTAAACCTAAAAGTAGAGAACCTAAGAGCCCAAAAGACTCTGAATATTAAGCCCTCGACTTAGAAACCCTAAACCCTAAACACTAAAAGGAAAACCTAAGAGCCCTTAGACTCAGAAACCCTAAGCCCTAAACCCTAAAAATAGAAAACCTCAGAGCCCTTAGAGGCTTCCGAGGAGTCGTCGGAGGATGAGTTGATCCCAGCGACTCCGCAGGGCCCTCCGGAGGAGGTCGCAGCACCGCAGCCACCCCTGCCCAAAGGCCAGGTTTAGGGTTTTCCGGGTTTGTTTTGGTTTTTAGGGTTTAAAGTTTTTAGGGATTTTGGGGTTTAGGGCTTTTAGGGTTTAGGATTTTTAGGGCTTTTAGGGTTTGGGGT